AATTGTGAAACAATGTGAAATTTTTCAGGGTTAAGTGAGGATTTTTTTTTTACTTTTTATGTCTGAGGTTCAGTGTCAAATATCTTTTAAAGGTTGGGCATGGTGGCAGAACAGTTTGGATTCAAGACCTGTCTCAAAAAAATCCTAACAAAACAAAAGAAAACTAAGAATGCTTATTGAGTGAATGAATAAATGAATTACTGCTACAAGGAAGCTTAGTTGTATGGAAACCGCCCCTGCTCAATGCACACCTTCCTTTAGTACCTGCATTTCTCCACCCATGGTGCATTTAAAGTTCACTGGGTGTTTTTCTATAAAAGATAACTTTTTCTGGTTTTTGTTTTGCTTTGTTTTTAGCAGTGCGAGAATTCAAACTCAGCTTGGTGGCATATACATATAATTCCAGCAATGGGGACACAGAGACAGGAGGATTGTCTGGGCTATAGAGTGAGACTCAGTCCCCAAGAAAATGAACAGAACAAAGCAAAACTCCAAACAAACCAGGCTTTGGACATGCCAAGTGAATGATTTACACACCAGGTGAGTGCTTTACAAACCAAGTTACATCATTAGCCCCTTTTAACCTTTAAAATCCTGAAAGCAGGAAATAGGACTGGAGATGTAGAGCAGTTGGTAGAACACTTGCTTTGTATTAGCAAAAGCCTGGGTTTGACTCTAGCACTGCAAAACAAACAGAAAAGTACAAAACTTGGGCTCCTCATTCTGTGATGTGTGATTGTGAATTCCATCTTTAGAACTAGCTAGGTGAGACAAATGCTAATACTGTCACTTAACTAACAGCATGTCTGCAGGTAAGTCACTCTCTCTTTGACCTGACTTGTCTATTCTTAAATGGGTATAATAATTCCAGTCTCACGTGGTTGTTTTGAGGAATTGTGAGGTGGTTATATTGTAAGATTATGCATTAATGGAATTGTAGGCCAAAGAGTGTCCCTCCCACATGTCCATGTCCAAATCCCTGGAACCTGTGAATATGCTATTTTAAATGACTAAAGGGAATTTGCAGGCATGATTAAATTAAGGATCATGTGATAAAGTGATGATCCTAGATTATCCCACGGACTAAGTCCAGAAAGGAAGAATGGAAGGCAGAAGAGTCAGGGTCACAATAACACAGCATGAGAAATATTGAACTGACTGTTGCTGGCTTTGAAGACTGAGAAAGGGGACTCAGAATTGAGGGCAATTTCTAGAAGCTGCAGATGGCAAAGGAATGGACTCTTTCCTAGAGTGTCCAGAAAACCATAGTCATTTTGACATGTTGACTTTAACCTAGTGAGGCTCATTTGTAGCTCCTGACTCCCATAACTGTAAGATAATAGATGTGTGCCAATTTAAGCTACTAAATTGGTGGCAATCGTCACAGCAGCTACAGGACAGTAATACAGGTGGGTTAGCTATGATTACTGCATTGCCCGCTCCTTTCGGTTGTGGCTCTTCTTGGCACAATTTAAAGTAAAGCCTTCTGCAGAGTCAAAATGGATCCTTTTTGTCCTACTGTACACTGTTTTTCGGTTTTTCTGACCTGCAGCTACTCTTAATTTGAGAATGCAGTGGTTTTCCAGAGGATCCCTCGTTCTCCTACAATAGAAAATGGACAATAGCACTGTTAAATAAATTGCAAGACTATATCATCTTCTTTTTAGGTTCTCCATTAACATATGGAAAATTATATGCTTTAGTTGTCAGTCTATGCACTGACTTGGGTCACTGAAACCATGCTCTGAGGCTCCAATCAAGAAAAAGTTAAATCTTAATTACAGCCTATTTCTTTGGCAGGGGGTTCTGAACCTAACAGAGATCCTACTGTAGGAGTTAATCCCCATAGGGGTTAGTGTCTTGTGCTAGGAGACATAGGAAAGGAAAGAGGAAATGAAGTTGGTAGGTCGGAGAAAGGGTTAAAAGAAGGAAAAGGAAGGAACAATCCAGTTAAATAATGGGAAGTGAGAGACAGCTTCCCGTCATCCATCCGTCTGGCCTTCTGGTGCAGTTGTGAAAACTTTGCACGCACCCTCGGGGGCCCAGGGCTGCACACCTGCCCCTCCCGGTTGGCTGAGCCTGGGGCAGGCTTGTGGAAGCAGGAGAGAGCGGCTGCTCCAGAGGGGTGGTAGGGACACCGCAGGGAGGAGTCATGGGGCGTGCGAACGGAAAGACTACATCTCCCAGGCCGCCACGCTTTCCAGCTGGAGTCCTAGGGCGCTGACTGCTCCCCAGTTTCCGTAGGGAAGCGCCTGGCTATCGCAGCTATTGTGCTCCACGCTCTCGCCCTCCTCTTCCCGCTTTGGTGCCGGTGGAGGAAGGCTACGTTTCCTTGCCACCCAGGCTTAACCCTTTAGACGCCCAACGGGACAACTAGCCGGTTCCCTGGGACTAGGAGGCTGTCTCAGCAGCGGCCCGGCCGCGGTGGAGCAGCCCGCAGGAGCCACGGATAGGAGCCACGGAAGCCAGCCATAGGGAGCCGGCGGTCAGGCTGCCGCTCTGCGAGCGCGGGGTGGAGGCGCTGGCTTTAAGGAGGGGGAGGGGACGGCGCTGTCTGCCTCCCACCGCCCGCCGAGCTCCGCGAAGGAAGCCTGGACTGGCCGGACAGCGCTGCACAGACAGGCGGCCACCGCGCCGGCGCTCACCCCGCCTCCACCCTGCGCGGCCCGGGGCTCAGCGCTGAGCATCGGGGGAGGCGATGCCCAGGGGACGTGCTCCTCGCTAGGCTGCGCCCCGCCGGTGTCGGACGGCGTTGGTAGGCGCTCTCAGTCACTCGGAGCCACCGTAGGACTGCGTGTGCCAGCTACACCCCAGCTGGCGCTCCCCGAGTGTCACTGGAACAGGTACCGGTCTTCCAAAGGAGGGAGGCTATGAGCCGCCTAAAAGTGGGACCTGGGTGCAGGCCATTCGGTCTACTTGTCTGACTGTGCCACTGATGCCCTCTCTCTTTGTCTCCCTCTCCGCCCCCCACCTCTGCTGTCAGAACCATGGGGCATCCCCCGCTTGAGTTCAGCGACTGCTACCTAGACAGCCCTGATTTCCGTGAGAGGCTCAAGTGCTATGAACAGGAGCTGGAGAGGACCAATAAATTCATCAAAGACGTGATCAAAGACGGCAATGCGCTTATCAACGCTATGAAAAGTAAGTGGAAGGCTTCAATGAGTTGTTTCCCGGAGTAGGAGTAGGTGGTTCTGGCCTTTAAACCTTTTCATACCACAGGGGGTGGGGAGGATTTTTGGAGTTATTCTCAACCCACGTCTCTGAGGCTAATGGATTTCCAATCCCTTCAGAGTGGGGTCAGTAGAAGTGGAAAGCCGTGTGTGTAAACCAGAACTTTGGGCCTTTCCCTTTAGTGATCCTGATTTGATCTATAGCTGGGCTGGCACTCTCTTGCTTTACAGTTACTCTCACTTAACGAATGCTTAATCAAAAGGACAATCTGCCTATACTGTCAGACGTGCTCAACACCCTTGTCTGGCACAAGATGACATCTGTGCTGACTAAGGAACTTTCCCAGCATCTCCTAAAGAAGTGGGAATTAAGGTCAGCAGCTTAAGCAGAATGATTTTGACCTGATCTCTGATTACTGCAGAAAAGTATGGGCACAGCCA